CTGTTCATATATCTGACTGCTTGTATTAAAGGACAAGATTGTATTACAAATAATATATAAATGTATTTAAAAATTAGTAGATTAACACCTCTAATATTTATATACTGTAAGCATGTCAATTTATCTAACCATTCCAGATTGAAAAGTAATGTCTATTACTTTAAATCTAAAGTATTTTAAGCCCATTGATGTGAAAAATGTTTTTGCAGAACCTTGGCCAACCCATTCAAGACAGATACAGAGAGTTTGAGGAGAGACCCAAAGCTTTTGAAGAGCTGGGCAGACAGTTGCAGCAATACATGAAGATTGTTGAGGCCTACAAAACCAAGGTGAAGTAAACGCATCACAAAAGGTACAAAGTTGCTCTTGATAAGCACACAGTGGCTTCACGTGGCTTTCTAAATTTTAGGAAGAGCAGTATGATCATCTGGAGGAGGCAGAAATTCAGAAGGTGGACAAGATGGTGAATGATGTCATGATCTGGATGAACAGTAAAATGAACCAGCAGAGTAAACAGAGTCTTGCCATCGAGCCAGTGGTGAAAACGACAGAGATCCAGGCCAAAACACGGGTTAGTGACTGTTACATTAAGCACATAAGGGTTATATTGTGGTGTTGGCCTGAAACGAATTAATAGAAGCGATTAATAATCAGGAATGAAAATAATCAAAAACATTTGATTACCAATTACTGTGTTTGTACATAAAAAACACTTTACAGTAAATAATTACTTATTTCTTAGAGCTGTGGTAGAAAAAAACATTTGAAAAATCAATTCTTCTTTCAAAATGTATCTCTAATCTCTCATGAATTGATTCTCAAGTGTTTTAAACAGCAGATGGCGCTGTATGCTTCACAAACAACCATATTCAATGGGGTCCAATGGGGTATATGCAGACAGACTTTTAATTTCAGTCAGCCAGCCCCAGGGCTTTCAGTGAATTGTCATCCCTTACAAAATCACTGCATTTAAGATCGGATTTCTTTGAAAAACAGCAATCTTCACTGACTAGATAAGATATGTTTTAAAGTCGGTCTCAGCTTTAACAATCAAATAGATGCTTAAGTCTTTTTAACTGATTAGTAGCTGTGCATGCATATATATATATATATATATATATATATATATATATATATATATATATATATATATGTATATATATATATATATATATATATATATAGAATTTATAGCTAATTCTGTTTTAACCTTAAATAATCTTTAATAAAGATATGACAAATTTGTCAGTGAATTACAAGAGTGTTTGTAGTGTTTACATTGATCATTACATAAAAGCCAACTTGTATGAATCTGCTGAACGCACAAGCACTCTTCCTCTTGAACAGTTGGGAAACTAGCATAGATCGCCATCTGCTGTTAAATGTTTGGAAGTGATTTAAAGGTCCCATATTTTTTTAGATATTAGTATCAGTATTGTTAGTTTAAGATCTCTATTAGCTAGTGTGCTCCAAAACAGTGTCAAAATAGCGTTTGGATATATAAAACTGATGTAAACTTGTAAAGCTTGTAGTTTGTCACCTCATACTTTAGTCTCTCATCAAATCATAACCAATCAAATGCTCTCTAGTATCTGACATGCTCCGCCCCCTTCAAGACGTTTCCCATTTGCTTTTCATTTGATGCACTTGAGGTAAACCGCTCTTATTGGCATTGCAGTGATAAAAAGCACTATTGGCTGTTTTTTAAAAAGGTTGAGGAGGATGTCTCGCCCTCTCTTCGTGTTTTGGTTGAGATTACATCAAACATCTAATAAACATGCATATTGCAAAGCATTTCACAGGACTTTGAAGAGAGGCAAGCAATGCAAATCTCAGAATCGACTTCTTTTATAACTACAGCTTCAGCTGCTGTAGCTCATCTGCTTCAAGGTTTTGTGTTCAGAGATGTGCTCTTCGGCAGACCCCAGTTGTGATAAGATCAAAAGACATTTTCACGTTTTCTCTTTTTCTGACCTTTCTTTGTAAACCCTAGAGACGGTTGTGCATCAAAAGCTCTGTGGATCATCAAGCACCACCAACCATGTCACATGCAAAGTCACATAAAGGACTAGTTCTTCCAGGAATTAAAAATTACAGATAGTTTACCCTCAGGCCACTGAAGATGACTATTTTTTTTTGTCTTCAGTAGAACATTAAAGAAGATTCAAAGAAGAGTCTTTAGTGACTAGTAAAATGCAAGTCAATGGTCTAAATTAACAAGTTCAAATCAATCCCAGAGGCTTCTGATTATACACCGAGCTCTTGTGTAGTCAAACAGTCAATCTGTGCTAGAAATTGGACATTATTTAAAGGGTTATTAGCTGTAATCCACTGCCTGAGCGAATGATTGTGTAGACGTGAGGTGACGAGTGTGGATGCACTATTTTTTTTTTGGTCCTTACCTGTGATTGTTTAATATGCAGAAATGATGACTCCATTCTGTTAAATGAATTTGCATCTGAGTGCACATTCGTGTATACATCATCAAGTTACAGGAAGCTCATGCTTTTATGTGCACAGCAAGAACTGTTTGCCCAGGCTGTGGATTAAAGCTAATAATATCCTAAATAATGCCAATTTTCATTATTGGGTGAACCTGCCCCTTTTAAAGGTGGTAACTTGTGTTGAACTTACCTTTATTTATTTAAGATTTGTTTATGGGTAAAACAAAGACAATGCAGGTCAGGTAGTTGAAACAGTAGGCATGCACTCCGGTGCTCGCGGCGACCCGAGTTCGATTCCGCCTCACGATCCTGTGCCGATCCTTCCCCTCTCTCTGCTCCCCGTGCTTTCCTGTTGATTCTCTCTGCTGTCTTATCGAATAAAGGTGAAAACCCCTAAAAAAATTATAAATAAAATAAAAATAAATAATTAATCTTGCCTACATCTAACGACTCTTCTGCCTTTTAAATTTATCAGGTAATGTGTCACAGTGTCAGTACACTGCTTCAGTTTTTCGCTTTCACACTTGTACTTATTAATTTTAGTGAAAACATCAGATGCTGTTGGTTGGATCTTGTTGGTTGTGCACCTTTTTTACTGACCAAGGTTGTCGACGCCACTATAACGACACAGATCACTCTGCCTATTCATGCCAAAACCTCTGAAAAAGTGATTGACAGGTGGTAATTTGTGTTTAACTTATCTGTATTTATTTAGGATTTGTTTATGGGTAAAACAAAGATCATGCAGGTCAGGTAGTTGAAACGGTAGGCTACAAATAATTAATTTGTTTTGAATAATTAATTATTCATAATTAATTTGCCTCCGCCTGTGCTGACGATGCCTTCATCCATCAGGATGTGTCACATTAGACATTGTACGATGCCAGATTGTTCGACATCGCCCAACCCTAGTTTCCACACATTGTTATTGGCTGATTAGATAGCAGTGTGCATTTTGCTACATAAATTTATTTCAACATTTTCCACAGGAGCTGTTTTCTACTTGCAATCCAGTCGTGACCAAACCCAAGCCCAAAGTGGACTTGCCAAAAGAAGAGAACCCATCAGAACCCAACGGGCCCGTCAACACACAGGAAAACCCTGAAGCTCAGCCCGGCGGCACAGAACCAGCTGCTGCAGACAGTGCAGGAAACACAGAAAACAAGCCTGACATGGACCTTGATTAAACACGCTGTGTAATGTTATGTTAACGTTACACGTTATGTTATGTAACATAATGTTTTGTTAATGTTAACTTATGTTTCCAGTGACTAGAATGCTAAATCATCATCATCATCCTCCTCAAAACAGGGAGACTCTAACAGTGAGCGATTCAGTGGCTACATTTGCATGTCGTTTTATATTAAGAAAATCATAAGTCATAATGCTGTAAGACTTCTGATTGAGAACAATTCTGTCTGCCTACAATTGAGTTTCTGTCATATGCCGGTTCTGTCAGCTGTTGTTTCAATAAATATGGATTGAAACGTGTGCAAATTTATGTTGAGGTTATTTAGTGTAATGCAAAGGAGTCTATATTTGTTTTGTTCAGGTTGCTTTACCGTTTGGTTTAAGGATGAATTTACATGTGATTAAATTTACTAGTAATATTCAAATTATAGGACAGAACGGGAAACGTTACAAGGGAATAAAGAACTTTTTTTAGTATGCAAATTATCTTATTTATGAAAAATTTGCAATGCTATGGCTGCTAATTGCATCAATATTATTTATTTTACATTCATTATCCTATATTTAAATCCACACATCTCAGGTCCAGTTTACTTTTTGGAGTGAACAGACGTCTTTTAATCATCTGGTTTTGTCAGTTTTCAAATTTATTGTTGCAGTTATCATTAATATTAGAAAAAGTACACACAAATAATTTACTTAAATTATAATATCAACTTTTAACAGGACCTTTCTTTCTAATAACTGATTTATTTTTATCTTTGGCATGATGACAATACATTATTTTTTATTAGATGTTTTAAGATAGTTGAATTCAGCTTATTGTGACATTTAAAGGCTTAACTAAGTTAACTGGGTAACCTGGCAGTTTAGGGTAATAAGGCAACTCGTATAACCACATAGCAGTTTGTTCTCTAGACAATCAAAACAAATATATAGCTTAAAGGGGCTAATATTTTTTACCTTAAAAACTGCTTTTATTCTCGCCTAAATAAAGCAAACAAGACTTTCTCCTGGGGAAAAATAATATCAAAAATTCTGTGAAAATTTCCCTACTCTGTATTACACAAATATTTGGGAAATATTTAAAAGAGAAAAACTGGGCTAATAATTCTGACTTTAACTGTTTATTTATTATTAATATATAATTGCTTAAATCACTTTTAACCCAAACCAAATAGCTTTGTTTGTTCATTAATTGATCGACTTTATTAGCTAATGGATAATAAATAAAATTATAAATTGGGCGATTATATTTCCAAATCCTCCTCCAAAAAAAAAATGCATTTTTGCGTCGAATTGTTTTTTCCACTGAGAGCCACTCAAATCCTGAGGTGAGATGTGCAAACTCTGCTACATTTCCTCACAGTCACATGATCGTGTTCCTCTGCGGCGCTGGAGGAGTTCTGCTACTTACAAACAACTGGTAAGTGTTTTGCTAACTCAATATGACAACCTCCAACTAGCGTCTTTTAATATCTAATATAAATTCCAGAGTCATCGTTGGTTAACTAATACATAGTCTTTATTGTTCACTAGTGAGACTAAATGCACGTTGCTCTGTCTAAAAGAAGGTGAAGTATAAACACTACTTAGCGACGCGACAAAACAGCCTTTAATAATGTGTCGCGTCGCGCTAAACAAAGTCTCCACGGTTGACTCTATAGTGTCAGTGAAGTATACCTACGGCTGCACTTCCGTCTTAATTTAACGATAATAGGGTCTAAAGTCTAAAGAAGGCAGGACTGTAACAAACACTGGGTTTCCAGGTCAATTTACCTAATCGTTTCTCTTAGACTCAGATGAAGCCATGAAGCTCATAATCCTCAATGACTACGACCAAGTCAGCGAATGGGCTGCCAAGTACATCAGGAACAGAATAAGGAAGTTTAATCCAGGTCCTGAGCGGTTCTTCACTCTGGGTCTTCCAACAGGTAGAGTCAAAACAAACTCATGCTGTGTACTATGCAAACGCATTGAACTGTGTTAAGGTATACTGTATTTGAATTGTGTTTGTATTACAGGAAGCACTCCACTTGGATGCTACAAGAAACTGATCGAGTACCACAAGAAGGGAGAAATATCTTTTCAGTATGTGAAAACGTTTAATATGGATGAGTATGTAGGTATGTGAGCAGACATTTATGCTTGGGGATCAAGGGTTGAACTGCCTGTCATATATTTAGTTGTAACACTGAACCAAAGTGTAAGTGGTTATTGTCTTTTACAGGACTTCCCAGAGACCATCCTGAAAGTTATCATTCATTCATGTGGAATAACTTCTTCAAGCACATCGACATTCGAGCAGAAAACGCTCACATCCTGGATGGCAACGCACCCAATCTAGAGAAGGAATGTCAGGACTTTGAAGCCAAAATCAAAGCCGCAGGAGGAATTGAGCTCTTTGTTGGCGGTAAGACATAAGATTGAACTTTGTCCTTTGCATGGTATGTGAATGAACTTTGTCTTGTGCTCACATTGCAGGGATTGGACCTGATGGTCACATTGCATTCAATGAGCCTGGTTCCAGTCTTGTGTCTCGAACGCGTGTTAAGACCCTGGCTATGGACACAATTCTGGCTAATGCACGTTTCTTTGATGGAGATCTCTCTAAGGTGCCCACCATGGCCCTCACAGTTGGCGTTGGCACTGTGATGGATGCTAGAGAGGTATAAGTATGAATATTTCTATATGTTTGGCCACACACAGCTAAATTAGGTTGTTACATGACCTTTCCAATTAATTATCTTCTGGAACATGCTGGAGTATTGACAACTGCATTTACCAAAGCTCTGCAAGTTGTTGCTCTCATCTCTATGGACTGCAAAAAAAACATTGGTACATCTTGCAGGATCTTGCAGGGTTCCCACGCTTCTTAAAAGTACTTGCATTTCAGACATATGGATTCAAGGTCTGGAAAGTACTTAAAAACAAACATAGGTCCTTGAAAGTGCTTGAATTAAATTTAAAACTAAATTTGTTCATGGTTTTTTTCAACAATTTTACTCAATTGTAAAAACGGACAAATTAAACATCTAAAATTTAAATCTTGAAGATGATTATGATGATGATGATGAGCTTTTATTTGTCACAACACTGTTACATGCAACAAAATTTTACCCCTCTACCATACACAAACATCATACATTTCAGGGAAAGAAAGGTCTGTCGAGAGGTAGCATAGAAAAATATATATAATAAGATATATAAGATCATAAATTAATTAATTAATTAAATATATTAACCCCTACCAGACTGTCTTAAAAGTAAAGCAGTGTGAGATTAGGAATGAATGAATGAATGAATATCACCAGTATTGAATACATCAAATTTGATCAAAATTCTTTAAAGATGACTTTTTAAAACGGTCAAAAAAATTTTACGTCTTAAGGTAAATTTGAAGTGTAACAATAAACTAATAGTACCAACAGTAATAGTACAGTCAGGACTTTTATAGCGCTACATATGCTGAGGTATGAATAACAAAGGTGCCTGATTTAAAATTAATGGGGCTTTCAAAGGTACTTGAAAGTCATTGAATCTACAGTTTTAGAAAGGGTGGGAATCCTTATCTTGAATCATAAGTGTTGCCAGATATTGCTAGTAAAAAAAAAACAATATAAGTGAAAGACCAAAATAAACTTAAAGCAACACTTCTTTTGTAAATAAACTCATCTTACAAGTCACCTAGAGTTCAACAGTTTTAGCATTTTTGAATTCATTCAAGTAATCTCTGGTGGGAGCACTTTGACAGTTTTTTCACTCCTGTAGATCAATATTTTTGTTCCGAAACAGGGATTAAAATTGATAAAATTGTTTATTTTTGTCATTGGTCTTGCTTTCACAATGCAATGTTTCTAAATGGACCAAAATAGCTAAAACAATTCACGAGCGAGTAAACTCTCCTCACATTGGCCAGAGTTTTAGGGATTATTTTCAGAGTGCCACAGATTCTGCTTAGCTGTCACGTCGTTTTTTTAGTTTATGATGATAAGCAATAAGACATAAGTGAAAAGGAAAACTTTAGTTTTGACACCCTCAGACATCGTCACCAAATATAAATCAGAGAGGTCAAACTTTCTCATACATGGCCTCATTTCAGTTGTCAAGTTTTGTAAAAATCTATCTATTGAATTAATCAATCTATTTAAAAAACATTGGCTAGAATTCTGCATTTTAGGCTTAAATTGTAGAGAGAAATAACAGATGAGCCGAGACTGCAGTCAGATCATGAAGCAGATCAATGCTGATCTTTCTTTCGAGGTGTCAGTGCAGCGTTTCAATTGAGCCAAGACCACCTCATGCAAGCAATCTCAGACCGATTGTTTTGACACAGATCCGAGCACAATTGCTGGATTCACATATGCATAATGAATCCTGCTAACTGGGCAAACGAGACCGGTTTCGCAACAACTGTCAAGGTGTGAAAGCACCCTTAGATTAATTTATCTTAGCTTAAATAACTGAATCAGATTAGACCATTAGCATCTCACTGAAAAAAATGTAAAAAGAGTTTTGTTAAAGTTAGTTATTGTCCTTGATTATTTTGCCAGAATGAGAATTTAAATAGGAAAATTCTAAAAACTCTTTTGTTTTATTAAGTGAGTGAAATGCTAATGGTCTAATCGGATTCAATGCTTTATGCTAAGCTAAGCTGAAAGTGCTATAAAAGAGCCTATTTCCAAACAAAAGTGGAATTTTCCTTTAAAGCCAAAATTTAGCTTTTGAAGAAAATCAGCCACATACCAAATATTGCGACCTGCACTTGCTTACTTTATGAAATGGATACTTGAAGAAAATACTTACTTTTTGCTTTAATAAATGAAGCAAAAAACGCTTTATAACTATTGCTTATAATAAGTGGACAAACTTCTAAACATAAACATAACACAATGCCTGTTTTATCCACCTTATACAGCTGTTTGTATCTTTTTGGCTCGGGATTTCTGGTCTCATTTACTTCCATTTATTCATAGATGTTAAAAACAGCTCTTTTTGCTTCTTGATGTTGCAAACTGATATTTTCTTATTTTCTTATTCTATTTTGTCTGTATAGTCATGCAAACACTTGTTTGTAAAGCTGGTAATGTGACCGCTTTCTGCCGTTTATTGTTCCTTGTTATTTCTCCTAAAGGCGACTAAATCGGAAGTTCTAAAACAATCGCTAAAACGAGCGCACTTCCTCATTGAAGAATAAGGTCAATAGGGTTTACCTAAAATAGTCTTTTTCAATGCACGAATTTGGCCAAAAACTGTGCAGGATGCTAATGTTACGTTGTTTACCATTTTGTTAATCTCGTAGAATGCTGCTAAAAAAATGGATGAGTAATAATGCGCTCTCTTGTGGGCTGATCTGAAACAATACAGCAGTAACATGATGATCATTGTTCATTTTCAGGTCATGATCCTTATCACTGGCTCTCATAAAGCATTTGCGCTCTATAAAGCCATAGAGGAGGGAGTGAATCACATGTGGACAGTGTCGGCCTTCCAGCAGCATCCTCAGACTGTGTTTGTGTGCGATGAAGACGCCACTCAAGAGCTGAGGGTCAAAACTGTCAAGTATTTCAAAGGTAACAAAGATGACCTCAGGCTTCACTTGGGAGGATTTGAATGGATTTTGTGGCTGTAAGAAAATCACGTGTAATATCTTTTCAGGCATTATCCATGTGCACAACAAGATGGTGGAAGAGCCATAAACTAACACTGAAGAGAAGAATGGAAAGAGCAAATATGTGTTTGTGCAAATGTTTAAAATGTTTCCCTTGTTTGTTAGATCAATGTTTCTGTCTGTTGACCATTTTGGTACTCGAACAATTTTAATAAAATGTGTTTTTATCATAATTAACTGATAATCCTTATTCTTCAGATGTCAGTAAATAAATCACAGACTTGATTTTTATTAAAAAAAAAAGAAGTAAATACTTGATTTAAACACTGATGTTTAGTCCATGTTATTTGATGTTACTTTGTATTTTAATATTTTCAGATTATTTTTTTATTCAGTGATTGTATGTCCATTTAATGCTACATCACTTGTTTATATTTCAATGATTTATATTTTATGTTTTACTGTATCTTTGCGGGTTGGGAGGTCTAGGACCAGTGGGGTTACGTTTACATGAACACACACTATCTTGCCAAAAAGTTTGATACATTCTTTCATGGCCATGTGTGTATAGAATCAACCACCTAGAGCAGACCACTCCTATAAACGTGTGACAGAATGGATCATTCTCATGAGCTCGGTGAATTCAAGTATTGCACCGTAAGTCCAATAAGTACATGGGCCATTCTTCAACTACTGGCACTTTTAACCTTGTAAAGTTGAGTAAAAAAACTTGTTCAAAACTAACATAACATGTTTAAACAGTTTGTCTAGTTTTAATATCTGTAAGAGGACAAACTTACATAAGAAGAGAAACATTTTTTCCATCGTAAACTGAACAAATGTCAATTCCAACACATCTCAATATACAGCTTTTTTCAAAATGAATTAATTATGGTAGTCAAACATTGTCTAAGATCATTTTTGTATTTGGTTTACCCAATCTTTCCACAATATATATAATAATTATACATTTGTCAATGAAATAAATTAGTTATGTGCTAAATTGTAAACCTGTCACACTCTAAAATTGAATATTAGTTTTAAACTGAATTTGTATATTAAAAAGAGTGTGAACTTATACATTGTGATTACACTTTTAATGTGTGATGAGAACTTTATAAATATTTTTTAAAAATGTGTGTGGTGATGAAATTGATAGTGGTGGAAATGACATTTCAACAATTTATTGTGGAAAAAATTAAATATAGCTTCACCGATTAGCTTAAAATTGATACTAGCCTTCCATGTATACTAAACACTCTTACCTTCATTTTGTTTGGTTTTTAAAAACATCTTTGAAGGTGCAACATGTTTGGAAATGATGTAGAATAAATGTATTTCCTTATCAAGCAATATTTACCTTAATTTTTCTTCAAGTGTTGTTGATAAAAATTTAAATTCCCTCCATCTTGAACATGCGCTCAGATGGCACCATTCATCATAGAAACCAGCTAAATAATCTTTCACACGAACTTATTAAAGCAACATAACCGTGTTGTGATGGAGATGATACTGATACTGTGTGGCAGTTATATTTTGCAACTTATTTCACTAGTGCTCAATTAAGATACATTAATAGTTACCAGACAAATAATCCTTTAAAATTTAATTTTCATTGTTGAAGTTTAAAACTCTGGGTGTGCGACAAGGTGAAAACAGTGATTTTGACACCTAAAAGGAGGTTGAATATTATGTAAAAAATATAATAGAAAGCTATTCAATTTCTTAAAGTAGGTTTTATTGTTAGTTTGACAAAGAAAGAGGAATTTGAACAAAATTATATATATTTTTGGATATTTGATCAAAGGACATAAAAGTGCTTTTGTTCTAAAAGGGCTTTTGGAAGATGGAAATGGTGCTGGTGAGGCCAGCAGGGGGTGCTCAACCTGAAGTCCGTGTGAGTCCTAATACCCCAGAAAAGTGAAGGGGCCACTATACTGTCAATAGCTATATTTCCATCCATCTATTTTATGCGCATTTTAGATATGCACATAAAAAACGGTTGATGGAAACGCCATGATGTGCATACATTTTTAAAATGCGCATAAAAAATGTATGCACATAACTGAGTAGGATAAATGTTTTATTCAATAAGAAAAGATGCAAATAAACTTCGATGGAAACACCGCACACATTTCAGTATTCGCATTAAAAAAGGTCATGTGATTTTGTAATAAGAGATCATGTGATCATGTGAAAATGTCTATGGACTAACCAACAGGCTGAGGCTGAGCACACTGTAAACCACCTAAACTGTTGTTTTGGTCATTCTAAAATGCCTTACCATTTAAGTATTACTGTTATTATATCATTAATGACCTACAGAATCAAGAGCATCTGTGCTCTGCGTCTGACACCTTCAAAAGCCACCGCACATTCACTGCGTGTAAGGATTACCTTCTGAGGCGCAAGTAATTTTTTAGATAAAGAAAAGATTAACACAGCTTCTCCTACTGCAGCGAATTTAGTTTTTACTGTTGATATTTGGCGCCAGTTAATCAGGAAGTGGCGGTTTTGTTCGCTTTGACTCGTTGGATGGAAATGCAGCTTTATCCACACGTCTTTCATGCAATAATTCAGTTTTGTTCATAGTTCATTCGCATATTTGGATGGAAAAAAAACTAGTGAGTGCCATCTTTCGGATGAGACGTTAAACCGAGGTCCTGACCCTGGTCAATAAAAATCCTTTGGCACTTCTGGTAAAGAGAAGGGTAGTACCCATCATGGCCTCGCAATCATGACTGACTCCATTGTCCCGTGGCTGCCGTTGCATCATCCAAGTGGATGCTTTACTCTGGTGTTGATGTGAAGCGCTTTGGGTGTATGGCCATACACGATAAATGCAGTATATAAATACACATTACATTACATTAAATGCATGAGATTTCCTCACTACTAAATATTCTACTGTGCGTTTACAGTGCTTGTGAGTGTGCACCCTATACTGACACTAAAGAGAAGAAATTGTTGAAAAAGTTGTTCATTCACGTGCGGTGTTTAAAATTGTTTTGAATGACATGAGGGTGAATAAAATTTTTTTTGAGTGAACTAACTTAAGTTTGTGTACCCATAAAGAGAGGTTCCATTTTACTTTATTTGATACTATTTTTTATCTTTATTTGATAATACAATCTTTATTTGATAATATTATAAATAGTTTTAATTCATGGTGATAAATCAGTATAATATTAAGATAAATATATATATATTTTTATTTGTGTAAATAATGCTACAGTATGAGGCTTATTTTATGGATTAAAAAATCAGTGTATCATCGTGAGCAAAAATACCTTAGTGATTCAATATGGTTGGAAAACTAGATTGAAATATTCCTGCACACAACAAAACACTTGAAGAAATAGTTTTCACGACTAAACTTATTGCTGAATACTCTAAACTAGTGGGTCAGTTAATTAGAAATTGGCAGTAAATCTGAGTTGTATTTAGTTTCTTCAAAATACTGAGGACCCTTTCTGTCTAGCTATTGTACTTTTAATTCAACAGCTGCCAAAGTGACCAATGTAAACCCTTTATATTGCTTACATAACAATAATCTTTGCACTGACAGAAATACACCCATGGAATGTGTTCAAAATGTCGTAAGCTGATTATATAAACACTTGAACTGAGCCTGCTGGCAGCGAACAAATAATGTCCGCAGTGCTGTCTAGTTAGTGCGGACGTATTGGCTGTTGAGACAGAGCCGCAGCGGCTGACACTGAAGCTGACTGAGCATGAGCAGTCGCCATTGTTTGGGCTACAGATTAGCCTAGTGCTGTCATTCGCTCTTCGTACAGAACTGTTTAATTGTGGAATCGAACATTAGTTACATTAAGGAAAAGTTAGGTTAAACTAGTAGTCATCGCTACTGTATGACTGATTAGGTGGATAGATCGCCACAGAAGAATGTCTGATCAGAGGAGTGGATATCAGCAGGTAACATTAACAAACATTATCCAGCTCGTTTGGTTTTAGAGTGAGTTGTTTTTTCCCGTAAGGTTCAAGGCTTTATGGTGTATGTTTGGTGGATGAAGTTTTGATCATTTTTGATGATTTACATTGTATAATATTTCTGAAAAGACACTGTAACGTTAATCGCTATGACGGTAATTAGCTGGTTAACGTTAGCCGCTCCTTCTGCGGCCTTCATTTTCCACTACGTTAATGGCAAACCGGAAAAACGACGAGTGTGTTTACTCGCATATATTATTTAGCGTAGAGTAAAACCCACTGTTAGCTCTGTTTTACCATGGTTACTCAATATTTTATGTTGTCATTATGATTAAATGTTGCAGCGAGTAGCTACTTTTAATCTTAGAACTTAAAGTTAATGATTTAACTCTTCACGTTACTGGAGGACAGAGGTTAACGTGTTTATTTTGTTAACAAAATGTTGTTATATTATAATGAGACAAATTGAAGAGTATACATTAAATCAATTGTCCAAAAAATGTAAGAGATATTAGCCCAATAACGTTACATATGAGCATAACACACCCACGCAATGTAGTTAAACAAAAATTAATAATTTATAAAGCATACCTGGATCATACATCATTAGATGATCATTTGATATATATATATATATATATATATATATATATATATATATATATATATATAAACATTGTTTAATAATGTGCAGTCTTAAAATATTACATTTTCCTATTATATCTTAAATCTTTTAAATATTTAGCAATATTAAAACTACAAGATTTTACAGATTTGTGAAAGCAGGGCTCAACAATAAGGACTGCCTGATGGCCTGAGGCCAGTGTGAGAGACGCTTGGGACTGTAGACGGGATCATTACTGGCCCGATCAGGACAGTGCTGCCTTTTCACTAAAGTTTCATTTGACTGCGATTATTTGTCAGTTGCATGCATTTTAAGTTTGTGCTTTTAAGTCTTTAAATGCTATCTTCTCTGTGATGTTGTAAACACCACATTGCTTTGCGGTTCCTCTTATCTGATTTAATGTTTTGAGCATGCTATTATTTCCTTTACCCTGGTAACAATCAGTACAGTGAAGTGACGACAACATCAAATTAAAAGGGTAAAAGAAAATGTCTGTTTCTAACGTCTTGGAAGCAGACATTCACGTGGGAACAATACGACGAAAAAAATGAACTTATTTTGCACAATTCGCCATCAGTTGGGCAAATCAGCCACCTTTTGTTAAATAATTTTGAACTGCAATAAAATACCTGCACATTTTCCATACTGCTC